TTTAGGGTAAGGATTTTAGAAAAAAGTATCGTCTTATAGTCGGAAAAATACGGTAACTGAAAGAGCCATTTTATTCGATTTTCTGGTAAATGGGCATTCGGAGGCCAGCTATACCAGCCATGGCAGCCACTTCATTGCTAAATAAATCCCAGCTGGGTCAGCTATTTTGGGATACTTCTCAAAAATCTTTAAGGTGGCTACTTCTCAACAAGGTTGCCTAAAATCCAAACCCCACCACTGAGCAATAATTTTGTTACACTCAATATAGTGGCCATGAGATCTGCAGCTTATAGATTCAAAATGAGACGTGAGCAATGAGTATGAATTGGAAATCAGATTCAATCTAGCATTCTGAAAGGGAAAAAAAATCAACGCATGTCACTTGGATCCTTCTCTTGCCCTGGACAAAATGCATGGGTTTCTGGTTAGCAGAAGCAGAGAGAATTGCAACGTCTTTGTATTAGCAAAGCATAGGTTAACTAAATAAAGGAAATTTATGAGAGAGTGGGAAGAAGACAGCGTGGGGCAAAGGGACCCCATTTCACACTGGAATTTGCTTATTAAGAAATAAATGTTCATATATACACACTGCTGCCCTTCTAGCCACGATTAAAAGGTGGAGAATGTAGGTTCCACAGCAAGGATTGCAGGTAGATAATTAGCTGCAAGCAACATCATGCCCAGTAAAATGCTTTCCCCTCCAGTTTGCAACATGCTATCAACTGCAGTAATAGATTAGATTCTAGGCTGATGCTAGGCATCCCATAATAGTTTCTTATGGGGTTCAGGGAGGTTGACACTTTCCATAACGTCTTCAACAGCAGAGTGGAATCAAAGTGAAGTATAAACGATGTCTGCTCTCGAGAAGATGTCATCTCAACTTAAACAAGATAAGAATCTCTGCTTTTGCACAAACCGGCTTCTCTCTATTTTTACAAGTTGCGATAGCCAAGAATCTTGCCTGAAGCATGGCATGGTAAGGGATAACATTCCTCCCCGTAACTCCAACCCCCTGGCACATGCGTGATGCCCATACATGGAATCTTGGCTGCATCCTGCATATTTCTCTTCAGATGGTTCAGGGAAGATAGGGCCATTTTTAACTAGGAAAAACATCAAAAGCTTAGGACTCCAACCAAAGTGGACTGGAAAACAGCGGGGCTTTGTGACAGTCTCCTTCTGATGCAGGTTTTAGCTTATAAAACATCCCCATGTGCCTTGGGTTTCTATTGGGTTGCTTCCTGCAGACAGAAATAGAAGGGAAACTACGGAGGGCAACGATCCACAGTCCCAACTCCAAGGCTGCTCAGCCTGACCAGGAATGGGTGCTGAAAGGCCTTGATAATCCTGCAACTGTGTCCTTATCTCATCAAAAGATCTGGGCTTTTCCTGAACAGGAAGAGTTCAGGCCTCACTCAGGAGCTTTCTAGGCACAGAGAGGCCCATTCCTTGCAACATTGGCCCTCATGACCAGTCTTCTGGTGCGATTAATTCAACAGGTGAAAAGGACTCTTGGTTTGCTGTTTTTCAGCTGCTGGAGAACACCCATTCTGTGTCTGGATTTGGATACGACTGGCCACAGCATGGCCTTACTGAAATGGGTCACCAACTGGATGAGATAAAGAAGAGCATGGTTGACTGCGCCTCCATAATCCAACAGGATGGACATACACGTGTTACTGCAATGCAAGAATTAACAAACTCTTGACTTCTGAAAAAAAAAAAAACCAGTCCCAGCTTCCAACGGTATCTCTGAAAACAAGTCTAAACAATTATAGTTTTTAGAAATCTACTCAAAGCATTCAGTACTGGCATTCACATAATATAAAGTAGCTTAGCAAGTTATGGGAGGTCTACATCGTTGCAAAGATTTTAATTTTTTAAAATATTTTTGCTTGTTGGTTTAGAATGATTCTGATTAAGTGTATTAAATATGAAGTGTGACTGAAAAAGTGAGAGGCCCCACTAGTTTTATTTTCCCTTTTTGATTAAGCAAATGGCAGCAAGGCAGATCTTCCTGAAGGACAGATAACACAGACACAACATTTTTCTCAAGGAAAGATGACACATGTTTCTATAAAGTTCTGATTGCAAATGAAGATGGAGATGAGATACCAGAGTGCTCTGTGGTTTTATGATGTGTGGTGTCGAGATCTCAGTGAAACAAAAAGCCGCTGTTCTTCACGTTTTGTCAAATACCACCACCATTAGAGGACATCTCCAGCACTGAGTAACTTCCAACGTGTTTTTTGCTCTCTGTGAAAGATCTAGCCCAACATCCATCTTGAAGAGTTTCTAGTCAATCTCACACAGAACAAGTTAATTTGGGTTGAGTATTATTACAATTAGTTTACTGCTGTTTTGTCTTAGATTGTAGCTTTACTATGAACATAATCAGTTGATTTGCGAGACCACACAACTTAGTGGAACTCCTCCAAAATTCAAGTTTGAAGCAAAGAAGAGCAAAACGCCCATGGGCAACCAAGCAGAACAGGTCACTGAAAGTCTGGCTGCTAGAGTGCTTCCTTTGTGGCGACACGGTGCATCATTTCTAAATGACATCATTAAGGAAACGGTGGGGTCATCGATGTTCGAGGAGGCGAAATAACAAGTTGGCCTGTATGGATGGCAAACATCTTGCCAAACTTGAACATCCTAATCCACTGAAACTCTGTTTCTGAACCAGTCGTAAGCAGCATTTCTGTACTTAATCAACAATCTGCATGTTATAAAAAGAATCGCTTCAAACTTTGCAGGAGTTCCCGCAACCCCTGAAAGGATATGGTTGTTGCAGAGCTCTCTATTTGATCTCCAGTCAAGACTGGGACCGATTGGGCAGAGAGAAAGCCTGCGGTTTTGATATATTTTGATGATCACTTTAAACAAGCAATCCTTTCAAAAGGGACAAGATATCAGACAGTGGCAGACATGGGGGGGAGCATCAGATTACCCAGCAAAACAGATACAAACAATACGTCATGGCTTATGTTCTTTGTGGACACAGTTAATCATATATGCTGGATTCCCAATCTAACCCTACATGGTTCGCCAGCAGCTATGACTTGTTTAGAGTTCACAGTCGTCGTCGTCATCATCATCATCATCATCTATTAAATGTATAGGCCCACCAGCTAACCAAGCCTTCTTGAGAGGACCAACATGACTGCTAGACAAGGAAAAAACCCTAAAAAAAAAAAATTAAACAAGGCAGCAGCAACAGGACACCCAAGATGACCCAAAACAGGCAGCCATAAACCATAATGAGCAGATTGTCAGAATGTTCCAAATGTGTGTAAAATGTTTTGCTTTGCCCAATCCTATCTTGGCTCTTGCCCATGTAATAAATTCCATTAGAATTGTGTTAGCGTAACACATATTGGATTGCTTACATATTTGGCCGCCTAGATGAAGTTGTCTTAAATGACTTTTGGAATCACTAATGACTTCCATACTTTTTCCAAGATTCTAGCAAGTTAAGCGAATGCTGGCTTGTTACAACCCCAGACAAATCCTCTAGTTTTAATAAGAGCAAAAGGCGTCAAGAATCCAGTAATTGGAGCTGGACCACAGTTTAATTAACAGCTCCAACGTTTGAATAAATACAAATCTCAGAGTTCATTTTTTCTGCCAACAGTGTCGGCAGAAGTCTATCCTCTCGAAACTGAAAAAGTCCAACAGGCAAAAAAATACAAAATGCAAGATTTGCCCAACTGGAAAATCACCCCATCAGGATAACAGGAAAGGGAGAAGTGCTCCAAAATGGCAGAAAAAATTCCTTTGGGTAACCAAGCAGCATCCGTGGGGGTTGGTAAGAAAAGTCAAGCTGGCAGCCATGAGCATACGGTGGAAACCCCATCTCTTGTCGTGTGCTGTATGTGCAATGCACATAAAAAGTGGTAGGGCTTCAATCACGTGGTCATGGCTGCCATCTTGACTTTTTTGACCCACCTCATGGAGGAGGAGGAGGATGCCAACCATAACATGCTGAGGAACTGGATAATGTTGTGAGCTCTCAGGTCATTTAACTGAAACAGAATATTCAGGGTAAACAAATGCAGTCTACACAAAGGTTCCACTTCCAGAACTTGTTTAAACTAAACAATTTAACTAGAGGCCGATGAAACAGATAAGCAGCGAAAGATGGAAGTGGTTGCTCTTGTTGAGCCCTCCCCAATATGGTATTTTGAGATGTGTCGGGAATCAAACTTCTAGAATTCCCAAGTTGAGGAGTGTCATTCTAGTCTCAGGTCCATTTGGGAAGACGGGGAAAAATTCCTACTGGAAGATGCACAATTCTTAATAATTACCAATGAAAAAGGGAAGAGAAACTAATTCTGAAAAGAGGAATCCAAGTATTGTTTTTAATACTGACCAGTTTATTGATTTATTTAGCTATTTCTTCCACTTCCTTTGCAACCCCGGGAGAGATTTCAAAGCAATGCCATGCTTCTGACCAAGAGTTTGAATTTTAAAGAGTGGTTAGGAATTATATTCAGTTCTTCTAACTTTATGCAGATATAAGGATCTAGGAAATCTGGACAAGGTAAGTTTTTTCATGACAGCAACTGCAAAACCTTCCGGATACGCTCACACTTCTCTTCCAGGTCGTCGTCCATTTCAGAATTGTCATACTCCTTCATAAGAGCTTCTGCTTTCTGCACTGTTGTGTCTCGGGCACTGCCTTGAAGTCCTTCAAGATACCGCAGCAAAATGGAAAAATATTGATTGGGGACCTGTAAGAGGAGTAGGTGGGGAAAGTGAAGTGTTTTACCAAACCACAATAAACTATGCAGTTGTGTTGATAAAAGACACAGGCAACTTGGAGAGATGGATGTTGAAGCTACACCAATTTCCCCACAGAACAAGCATGTCTTTCCTTTTCCTTTCCTTTTGAGGATGGTCTGTTCCATATGGAAGAAGGAATTCCAGCTTTTGGCTCTTCTACCCTCAACTCATGCTGCACCTTTATTTATTTATTTTATTTAACAAGCCATCTGACCCCATGACAACCCAGGATGGTGTAGAGAATAAAACAATGAAAACAACGCAGCCCAGACAACATGAAAACCAAATCTTGAGAAATAACCCATGTTCTGATTAATCCATAATTCTCACAAAGGGCCTGCCATCTGGTCTAGCCCAAGGCCTGGGGTAAAATCCAGGTTTGAAGGGCTCGTTTAGAGAAGGTCAGGGTGGGGGCTCCACAAACCACTGTGGGCAGATAATTCCAAAGGAAGCAGGTGCTATGACAGAGAAGGTCCACTTCTGGGGTCCCATCAGATGATACTGTTTAATGGATGGGACCCGCACAGGCCGACTCTGCTGGACCGTGTAGGATGGGCAGAAACATGAATTGCTGGTTCCCTTGCTGATCAACCACTTAGGAGAGTATCCATGCCCATCAGCGTCCAGGATGGGTGCTCAGATCACAGGTGCCTACACAAAAGCAAGGAAGGTGTCGGGTGCCAGTTTGTCATGCACACTGGGACACATCATTCTGCTTGGCTGCAGAAAAGCTAGGCGTGCAAATCTGAGGGTTAACCAGCTGCTGTAGCAGGGCTGCGTTGCCAAACCTCAAGTTTAGGGACGGCCTACCTGGTCTTTGTCATACATATGCAGAAGAAGCCACGTTTGCCTCGTCTTTTGAAATCTCCAGCCTTGGGGACTCTCAGACCAGCTGTAGCAAAGCCAGAAAATAAAGCAGATCAAAGACATTCAATAATGTGACAGGAAAAACCACCACCACCATCACGCTATATCTCACTGTTTTCAAAGCTGTCAAAATATTGGCTTTGTTCAGAGCATGGTGGCCCTGGAAAAAAGTATGGAGGAACACATGAACAAAGAGAGTTATATCAATGGCTGTATTGGGTAACAAAAGTCCGGTGTGGGTGGAGGAGAAAGCTGTGCGCCGGGAATATTCTTTTACAGTCTCTGTGATGCAACCTTTATATCAAAAACTGCTTTAAACCTTCCATTTCATTCCAAGTATGTCCATTAACTAGTTTGGATGACCCTGGGTTTCCTAAAGCAGAACAGTGTTATGAGGACAAGCCACCGTAAGAGCTGGTTGCGCAGGTTCACTATTTCTCTTTTGGCATGGTGTTGAGGAGCTTGGAAACAAATCACTGTTTGTTGTAACCCAACAAATTAGTCTAAACTACAGTTAATAAAGATAGGTTAACTTGAAATGAGGGATTATGAAACCAACTTTTCATTGCCCACAGTTATGACTAACCAAACGTAGGATTTAGTTGCTTCTGATTGGATATTTAGACCAGGTTTGGACATAATGGTAAATGATCATGCATTGACCTCATGGTTATCTGTATGTTTCAAATCACGCACGCTTATGAAACAGGCTTGGTAATGGCCAACAATATGTGATATCCAAACTGGGGGAGCCTGATGAAATTTCTGTTGGATCTGCACGGCAATTTTTAGGCGTAACTGAACCACGCTGCAATCAAAGCTTTTAACATGGCCTAAGGAATTATCCAGCCATCAACAATTTTTGCCAATGTTTTCCAAAATACCTCGCCCATAAACTTAAAATATACAGAAATAGTTGCTGGCTTTATTTGTGTAAACACAAAACTGCTTCCCAAGTCAAAATTTGTAACTGAAGAATGTGACATAAAATCTAATGCAGTTTGTTACAAATGTGTAAACAGGAAAATTACTTTCCTTATAAAACTGAACCCTTGGTTTGTTTTTTTAAAGTACGATTGACTTCTTGATTATATTATGAAAAGAACCATAAAGGTTTCTCACTGTTTAATGGTACTATCAACATTATTTTATTAGAAATGTGAATGTCAATTCACTGAAACTTTCTTTCAGAGGAAAATCAGCGCAATGAGTAGAAAACAGGCTGGATTCTTCACTTAGCAAGATTCTGGCTGAAAAGTCAGTTAAAAAGGAAATGCTACAAATGTTACTATAGTCCAAATGCGATCAGATCTGATACGGTGAAATCAGACCACAAATTAAATCCGTCCTGCTTTAGCAAAGACATTGCTCAATGGATAAGCCACAATCACAAATGTATTTTCCTTCCTGGAATGAAACTTCCCTGGAATCTGGAGAACATCAATCAACTAGATCATGTTCCAGCCAGGTATCAAGAGATTAAATGTCTTAAATAACTCTGGCAGACATAAAGGAAACCAGGGACCAGATAAATACAACGAGAAGCTAGGCTTATGTATTTAAATCATTTATATGGCTGTCCAATTTTAACTTTGCAATTCCAGGTGGTATACAATAAAGCAGGAACAAAACAAGATAACCAATTTCAATAAAAATCCAACCAGGAGAATCATGAGCAGCATTCCTTTCCCTGCCTGATCACTTGTCTTCTTCTGCCAGCATAAGCAGCTACTCAAAAAAGAAACTTGAAGCCTTAGTGCAATCTTCTTTGTTACCTTCAGATGTGTTAGGCCAGTGCTTCTCAACCTTGGCAACTCTAGGATGGGTGGACTTCAACTCCCAGATTTCCCCACCCAGCATGCATTCTGGGAGTTAGTCCACCCATCTTAGAGTTGCCAAGGTTGAGAAACACTGTGTTAGCTCCCCTCATCCTCAGCAATCACTGGCTACAGGTGGTCATCCAGAGTTACAACTCTACACAACTATAAATCCAGAGACTGACACATGGATCCAGATCCAGCTTCTGCCCGTCCCGGTCATGGAAAACCAACTCATTTCCTAACTGAAGAAGCCTTGGACCCAACTCTTTAGTGAGCACGCCATATTGTAATGAAGCTGAATTATATACAATGAAAAATTCAATACAGGTTGAGCTTATAATGCAAGCTCTTCAGGGCTAGTGAAGCACTTTTTTTTTTGTAAAGTGATAGCTCAGGAGGAGAGCTTGTCACGTCACCATGAAAGAGCATGGGAAAATAATAACACTGCAAAAGCAGTATTTTACTGGGTGCTGGCACTGCTTGTCTACTCCAGTGGTTGGTCCTTCAGCTTACACCATGCTCATGGCATTACTGCATGAAGATTACAGAGCCCGCTGCATCAAGCCAACCTGGAAATCACTACACGTTGAACCACACATTGAAACAGAAGTCAACACAGAAAAAATCCAACACACATACAGCAAATTGGAAGGAGGAAACTTAGGAGAAATGGGCCACCCATAATATGGGCAATTCTGTAAGAATGAATATTATTCCCATTGCAGGGCTGTCTACAAGGTATGGTCAAAACAGGCAAGCTCAGGGCTCCAATGGTGTGATGGAAGCAACACAAGGCACATTCAAGAAAAGGTGGCGGTTCCATCACATCGTCGCAGTCACTCTCTGGATTTTTTGACAGCCCTACCCAATGGGTCCTAGCACAGTTGAATATAGCCCCACTGCCTCTTTTCATAAAGATTGTACAATGTTAGAGTCAAATCTATGCTGTTCCTCTGTAGAATATTACACAATGCAGATGTCCCCCATGTTTGTGTCCAGATGTCCATGCTTTTACACTTAGTTCTGCCCCTGCCCGAGGTCGACGCCGATGAAGCAAGAGGAAACGTAAGTTATCTCGTTTCCCTCCCTCGACGAACATCTTGGGGGGTGGCGGGGACAGGAAAAGAAGGCCTCCACTGTTGGCAGGATGAGCCTTGCTCAAACATGCAGGATCATTGACAGACAGGGTGGCT